AATCGCTTTTCGCTCGGGACCATTGCCATTCGATAGGTCCTACTGAGTAGTGAAAAAGTCTAGAAGGGTTTGGGTGCATGGCTCTTCTAGACTGAGATATCGAATTATCAAGTTATGATCGAAATAGACTAAAATATCAAAGGAGGGGGCCGTATAAGGTTATGAATCAGCCCACTCTCTTTTTTGATTAAAAATGGATCCATATGTAGTAAAAAAGTGCCTCTATTCCGTTTTCGGTAAAATCAGATACTTTTGTTAGGTAAAACCCGATTAATTCCTGAACAATAGCATCTCAATAGCACCGTTAAAAAGCCACCATATGATGAGTACAACAGACTTTCCTCAATTACCTTACACTGAAATGGCAAACTAAACACAGCATTAGATAGCCCGTAAAATTCTCTACAAACTGAGCTACTCAGAATATCTTCGCTGGATTTCCTCTATTATCTTTGAACAATTTAAGTTATTCAAAACGATAATACGAACTAAGCAAAATTGTTTGTGTATAAAGTAGAAATACGTCAAATATACTTCTATTAAGATTAGTGAGTGGTGCCTTGTCTTTCTACATCAGATCATTAAGCGGCATAATTTTTTATTGCACTCACTTTATTCTTTGCCATAAATCCATGTTTCATTGCTCGATTTAATTCGGCCTAGGTTAACTTAAAATTTTAATATAGCCCAGGCAAATTTTAAATTGGCCTAGGCTAACTTAAAATCGAGCTATGCAGACATCTGAATTTTAATATAGCCTTGGCTATAATAAAATTTTAAGTTAGCCTAGGATGATTTAAAATCTGCCTGAATTTTAATATAGCCTTAACATATATACGAGTCACGCTGTACCACGCACACACTTATACTAAACTGAATATACAAAAATCTCAGGATACGCTTTTCTAAAAAATACGTCGAATTTTCATTTAATCTTATTTTCATGTTTTATTTTCTACATAAATTAATGTGAATATTCACTGAATAACTAAAGTTTGAACACATATTATGATTGATTATCATGGTCCGAAGAGAAAGCCGGAAAGCCATGGTAGTCAAAAAGAACAGTTTATCTAGCTGCTGAATATAAAAGAAGAAAGTATGATTTATTAAACGTTAATCACCAATATTAAGAGCTACATATCTCAAAAACTAAACGGGATCTTTTCCATCCGAATATGTAAAAATCTCGAGAAAAAAGCCATAAAAATTTTGATATTCTGTATTGTAGTGTAGGAAAGTGTGGAATTTCAGCAAGATCCCTGAGTACAAATCACGGTTACCATAGCGAGATCTTTTGGATGTACAATCCACCATTCCTAATATCTATGACTTCCAAGTCACTTTCACATATTAGCAAATGATACGGCCAAAGAGAATATATATATTGCCTATAATTAATTAGTATAGTTAATGTGCTCTTTGATGTGTTATGTATAATCAAAACTAATCTATTTGGAAAAAATGACTAAAATGGAGCAAAAAAGATAGATTTTATATATTTTCTCTCTTATACAAACATCATAGAGAAGCGCTTTACATTGGTATAAGCTATTTTTATTTGAAAGAGAGACATTTTAACTTTTCTCCCTACCATCGAAAGAGAGAGACATGCTCCATTATTATCGGCGGATAGAGAAAACACGATCGATACAATGAAATCAGAATCTGATACGAAAAAAAGCGGGGGTCAGCCAATGATTACATCCACTTTTTGCTCCAGCGGAAAATTTTTTACTTCTCGCTATTAGCGAGAAGAAAAAATGACAAGGAGCGAGAAAGAACAAAAGAACACGTTATTCTTCTTCTATAAACCTTTTTGTTGTACAAATATAGTCTATTACTGCACGATATATACATGAAAAATCTTCTTTCAAAAGAGATACGTTCAGTAAAAGAAGATCAAGGCTAAGGGTAAGAGCATTTTTTATTGTTGAGATTTCTCTTATTTTTTTCCTTTCAACTTGGAATAACACACACTCTAGCAGATAGTGCTGAACTGTCTCTGTCCTTCCACACGTACACAAAGCTGTAGTTGACAAGGATTTTTGGTATAAATCAGCTTTTAGAGCAGAAAAATTTGCGCGAAGTCTACTGTATAACTCGTCGATGTCTCTCGGTATATTGTATATCTGAAAAACAGAAGGAGAACACCGATAGTAGATGAAAAGTTTTTTTTTGAAAGCTTTAGTAGGAGTTTCTTTCAGAGGTTGTGGCAGCTCTGACCAAATCTGTACAGTAAATGGAAAGAAAGATCTGTCCGCCGTCACCGAATCGAGTGTGAGGTTTTTGAACGTTGCGCGTCTACGTAGATTGTATGAGATTGCCTCACTACTTAGAATGTAGGGAGTTAGATATGTAGGCGCTTCTCCTCTAATTATTTTGCGAAATAAAATTACTTTGTGAATATCGTACAGTTTCTGTATATCAGGCCAGCCTAATATGTCTAATACTCTCTCTCTCCTAAATAAGTGAGTGGTTTCAGAAACTAGAAGAGCAGCCTTATACTGTAATCGCAATATAGGCTGCAAAGCCTTCTTTGTAATACATGAGTAGATCACATCTGCATAGTTCAATATTGTTAAAATATATGATTTGCTTTACATTATTCTACTAATGATTCGAATGATTCGTTTGATTCAATTGATTCGTTCATAGTTTTGACGGCTACCCTAACTAAGTATGTTCTCCGTGATCACTATGATCACTTTTGTTTAAAGAAATCCTGGTGGGAATTAGAGTATCCGGAGATTGTGAGAATTTGAAAAACGTTGAGGATTTGATAACCGTAAATTTTTAAAACTCAAAATTTGAGAATTTTGCAGATCGATATTTTCAGAATTTGAGAATTTTCCACATTGATCACTTGAGAATTCTGGAAATTGAGAATTTTACTGATAATTAACTAATTGAACCACACACTATTATCTGTGACAATAAAAAATAAGCTTTTCAAACAAAAAACAAAATTATTCAACAAATAGGCTAACTCTTGTAAAAAAAATGATTCTCAAATCAGTATGAAACATGCATCAAGAGACAGATAATTGAACCACATTTTGACAAAATTGAAAGAAAAAATAAAATCCAAGTAGAAACAGAAGTACAACCAAATTATTCTAAATAGAAAACAAATTAAATTCTTGCGTGTAAAGTGCTGTTGGTGGCAGAAAATCTTTTAAATTTTGTTTACTCTAGAGGATAATCCCCTTTCTTAACCGGAACTGTTGGGCCAAATGTTACTTTTGTGTCAATAACATTAACACCCTTATATATTCCTCCGACTCCTGATCGCTCTAGTATTGTCCCATCGGCGTATACAATTTTTAAACGTGTTGCATATGGTACCTCTATTGTTCCGACTATTACAACCATTATTGCTTTTTGAGAGGATTTTGGGGCCACATTAACTTTAAGTGTTCGTTTAATTGTTTCCTCTTTTGTGTGTGTTTCACCGTATTTATAGCCAAAACTAACTTCAGCTCGAACGGTTACTGTTTTTTCTAATATAGGTAAACCACCCTTAACGGAAAATTCAACACCAGCTGTTAATCCGACATTAATTTCTCATGATTTCGCAGTAGCGGCCTTTGTTTCCAATTCCGCACTAATTTCCTGTTGTATATCAGCACAATTTATAATATCATGTCGAATAATACTCGTGGATTGCAAACCTGCACTTGCTATAGCACTGTCTAGCTCATATTTTATTTCTGTTGAAACGTATTCAACATCTGATGTTACCCAATGAAATTGAATGCCTCTTGAATGCTCTTAAAAGTTTATTCTTGGTAAACCCACTAATATAGGACAAATAAAGCCCTTATATTCTTGAGAGACTTTCGTATTCGGATTATTGCATAAACCATACTGAGCTTCTCTTCCTATACTTGTTATAAATTTAATATGATGTATAATATTTTGATTTGCACGTTCTTGATACGTGCCAGTACAAACTTCAACTCTTATAATTCTTTCTTTAGGCTCCAATTCAAATATTTCTGTCTTACAATAATCGTAGGGATTTCCATATTCTGGACCTTGAATTATTCCACCTGAACCACTTCTGTAAAAGAATTGTATCGTACATGGTGTATGATAAGATGCTTTCATCACAATTCTGCTTGGATAACTTAGTCCTGTTCTACCAATATTAGATGCATCATTAAAATGAACAGGATTTTCACTCGGAGTAGCAATAACAGGAGAAGAATAAATACCTAAAAATATATACATTTACATTTTATTTTTTAATCAAAGCTTTTAATTATCTCATACAAAAACTCCGCACATAAACTCCCAAAATTTTTTTCACTCACATTTCGAATTTTAACATCACTCAATCATTGTCAATCCGGAACGATCAGATATGGGTTAATCCATGGGTATCCAACCACTTTTTGGAAAAAGTTTTTTTATCGACTTTTTTCGTTCTAGTTAGCTGGGTAGTGATCAGAAAACAGTTTTGATCGAAAAAAATTGCTGACTTTCACCTTATATGAGGGAGATCTGGACCTGTTTCTAGGAATATCTAACGAGGGTCATCCAAGTTATTTCAAAATTTTGGACACATATTTTGCCCATTGGTAGAGGACCACTAGACTAGTATAACCTGCATAGGATTCTACTTTTGATTGAGATCTGACCGAGATATGAATGTTTTGAAAATACAGTATTTTTAGAAAAATTCTAAAAGAATGAAAAATCTGTGTTTTGAAACACTCATATCTCGGTCAAATCTCAATCAAAAGTAGAATCCTATGCAGGTTATACTAGTCTAGTGGTCCTCTACCAATGGGCAAAATATGTGTCCAAAATTTTGAAATAACTTGGATGACCCTCGTTAGATGTTCCTAGAAACAGGTCCAGATCTCCCTCATTTAAGGTGAAAGTCAGCAATTTTTTTCGGTCAAAGCTGTTTTCTGATCACTACCCAGCTAACTAGAACGAAAAAAGTCGATAAAAAAGCTTTTTCCAAAAAGTGGTTGGATACCCATGGATTCACCCATATATTTGAATAAATAAAAATTTAAATAACTCGCTTAAAATGATAAAAAGATCATGCCTTAGTATTTTTAAATCGAAAACCAAACTGAGATTTTGCCAGAAAATTCGCTACCTTACTTCCTTCTGTGCAAAAGTAGGAGACAAATGACACAATTTGACGTACCTGTAAAAGGTGTAATGGTGAAACTTGCTGCTTTTGCAGGTCCACTTCCAATTACACTAACTTTGCTTCCAATATCGTAATTTTGAACCCCAATTATGCTTCTCTCACCACGAACATCTAAAAGTTGGACACCCGCACGCGTGAGATCAAAAGCTAAGTAGCTACGAAGTGGAATGAACAATTTGCATTCTGGTATAACAAATGTTTGGATACCATCAACGAGAACTACTTCGTTATATGGAATCTGATAGCTGGATATTACAAGATATGGAGGAGGACTAAGAACATAGAGAAAAATTGGAGAATTCCTCACTGGAGCCCAATGAAAATTCATTTGAACGGTTTTTACGCAACCAGGAGTCTGCGCCCAATCATTGAGATTAAAACCCCGAGAAATGGGCTTCATTTGAAACTCCAGCAGCCACGGCACTACCATGTGAAACTCCTAAACAAAAATAAGAGAAAGAAACACGATTCAAAAGAAAGTATAAAAGGCAAAAATAAAAAATTTTACAAGATGCGAAAATACTTTTTGTTCTCTTTTTTATTATTAAGATATTATTATTGAGAAGTCACCTTTTAGCGGTCTAAAACGTGACAGGGTGAACGGCCATGTTCGGAGACTGGAAGGAACGCTATCTTTCTTTCAGTATTTTGTGAAAAAAGAATGGAAACTGGACACGTTTCTACAAGAGACCAAATCGTTAATCGACTTACTGCACTTCTACTAAGAGCGATGAGTTTTCAATAAAAACATGATGTACTTCTCAAATACTTTTGAAATTTGACCTTAGGTTTCTCTCAGATGTTTTGCGCCAAACCTTAAGAGAGTTGGCTTTTCTTGTCTCAGAATATAATTTTGAGGTATACCGAGTAATTGTAAGTGAAAAACAATAGTTTCTGAAGATAAAAAACTTGATGTCCGCATGTATGGTGAAAATGCTCACCGTGTGACAAAACAACTGATAACAATTCTAGTTTTCACATCCTTAAAGTGTCCTATATCTACCGATGTTTTTACTCTAACTAATATTGTTTGCTTTACTTTTATATCGAGTAACTTAAGAAGAATTATATTAATTAAAAAATCGCAAATAAGAATGGTATTCTCACAACGCGAACAAAAACTAATGACTTCTTTGGATTTACCTATTTCTATAGATAGACATAATAGACACAATACCACAAAAAACTTGGTTGCTTTCTGTATGCGAAGAGAGACCTTCCTATATAAGAGGAACAGCAAAACAACATTTTACAAGAATATGTTTCTTTGATCATTCTGTGCTGCAATCGGTGACCGTCTACCTCTAGCTCAAAACTGTACGTATAATATTTGAGTAATCATGTTTTATCATAGCCTATACAGATATTCATGAATTTTTAATGTAATATGATCTGTTCATACAACTTCAACTGTCTAAACAGTGATTTCTAAAATTCCATAATACTTTTCGGTCTGTATAGAGTATATTACATATCTAGGCCAAGAAAAGTCATCATTCTCAAAAAAAGGTACAATTGGACGATTTCGACTCTTCTACTCATCCTTCCAGTGTAAAGTTATACAATAGGAACATTCAAAAGGTGATGAAGGAAAGACTATTTGTTGTTCATCGGGTTGAAGAAACTCTTCACTTACCTTTAAAAGGAATTATTGTGAAACTCATTGCTGACGAATAAACATAATCGTGACAATCAAAATTTTTCACATCACCAACACTGCAATTTGGGTCTTTGATAGAGCAGTGCACTCCAGGAGTTTTATATAAACTACCACCATCGGCTCCAAGCTCGACAGCTAAAAATTGTCCTATTCCTATATTTAGTTGAGAACGAAGAACAAATTTTTGAATACCAACTTCTGCTCTTATTTCATCAGCTGGAACCGCATATTTCGCTAATATATTCAATCGAAAATGACCATCATTATAACCGATAACATAAAAATAAATTTTTGCCGAAGCAGCAGTTGGTGCTTTTTGAAAATTTAGTTGAATTGATTTTATAGTACCAGGACGTTTCAGCCCAGCGCTCGTATCAAACTCCACAACCGAATTATTACTCTGCGTAGTAGATATGAGAATTTTTTCTGCATTACCGTATATAAAATGTCCTATAATAGAATATTCACAATATATTATATGACGGGTGGCCAATAAAGAATGAGCCCCTTCTCTCAGTGTTTTTTGCGTGACAAAAACGTGAGAAAAACGTGAGTTCTATGCTCAAAAGAAAATTTCTTTATTCTTTACATATTTATCAAATTTAAACTAAAAAGTCCAGTCATAAATGCGAAAAAAATCTGTCAATAAAAAAGGTTAAGGTTTGGTGCAAAATATCTGAGAGAAGCCTAAGGTCAAATTTCAAAAGTATTTGAGAAGTACATCATGTTTTTATTGAAAACTCATTTCTCTTAGTAGAAGTGCAGCAAGTCGATTAACGATTTGGTCTCTTGTAGAAACGTGTCCAGTTTCCATTCTTTTTTCACAAAATACTGAAAGAAAGAAAGCGTTCCTTCCAGTCTCCGAACATGGCCGTTCATCCTGTCACGTTATAGTTACGCAATTACATAGTAAGATAATTTCCTTACTTTTTCTCAGACTGTTTATGTCTATGATCAACTTGACTGAACTTACTGTGCTGTTGAATATCTTTTTATCATGTTTCAATGTTTGGATTAACATGATATTCAGGGTGCATTTTGGTCTTTAAATGAGCAAGTAATGCCGTTTTATTGCTGTACATTTGAAGGTAAATCCAGTATATGAGTGCTGGTCACGTATACCATGTAATGTTGACTTTTTCATAAAAAAATTGACATCAACAGTCAAATAAAAATAAACATTTCAGTGGGAAACGTTTAATTTAACATTTCCGACCTAAAAACTTTTTAAAAAAGTTTAAAATTTACACCATTCGATAGAAAATTACGTTCTCTGCAAAATGGCTAATTTTTTTTGACAATTCCACTCTAGGAACAAAACTTATGCCTTTTCACTGTTTCATGGTTCAAGTCAAGTTTAAAAGCCTAAAAAAAATTGTCAACTTCATTTTTTAGATTAATTGATAGAATATCACCAGATCTATGGAATATATGAAAATCAAGTTTTGTGGAAGATATTAAGTGCCTGGAAATTCACTGACAAAAAAGTGTATCACGTCGTCACAAAAAATGTTACTTTAATACATTTATTTATTGACATATATAAGCGAGGGAAAGCCTTTGGAAGAAAATTCTTTTTAATATTGGATAACTCGTAAGCTTTTCTACCACCTTCACTCTAGACAGTTTCTATTTGCTCAAGTAATTTCGCAGGAAATTAGCATTTAATTGGATGTACTCGCAATTTAGTGCCTTTTTTGTCACATCCATCACGTACTGTATATTCTCTCTCAAAGCCGTGAATCTAACGAAAATTTTCCATCGCTTCGCCTTAAAGAGAGGATAGTAAACTGCTTAGAATGCCGCAAGAATCAACTCTCTAGCTCTTACTTTTGTACAAACTGAAATTTAATACGTCAAAAATGTCACGTCGTTACGTTTGGACAACCTGTGAAGTTTATGATAATTTTTAACAACAAATGGTTGAATTAATACAAAAAATATTAGCAATGAATATTTAAAAATGTATTTTTTAGATGTATTTATCTTATGCCAATAAGTAAGTAAGAGGAGTTTGCTACTCTCTAGACACTTAAAAATTATTGACAATTGTTTATACCAATTGAACAGTCTAGCTTAAATCCACTTTTGCAATGGAATCGCAAAGCGGCTAGCGTTGGCGAATTATTATTCTCGTACTATGCTTCTGAACCCAGACGCTATTCTTTTAGAGATTCTGTGAAGCCCTAAAATACTTTTATTTTGAGAAATTCCAGATGTTACGACTTTCAGAAAGATGCGTTTCTTCTCAGGTGTACAACTCTTCTTTGTGAAAATTTGAACTTCTCTAAAAAAAGAACATATAAAAAGTCAAAATTTATTTCGTTCTTTTATATGGTAACCTGCAAAATAAAACGGTGAATGAGTTCTGGTACAATTTTTGTCCTTTTGTCTCCATTTTACAGCATGAAAGCAGGACTCACACGCGTAGGAATCTTCCGTCATGACTCGTGCTATGCGACTCATTCGTGATCTTGACTCGACACAATAAGCACCGCGACTTATCGTGAGTTATGGTGAAATTTTCCCAAAACAATTAGAATTTTATTGCGATAGACAAAAACGAGATATGTCATCTACTATATTTGAATGACAAATATTGCCACGAGACTCAGTGTGGCCGATAGTCTATGTTTTTATTCATTTTTGGGATTAGTACACCTAAAGGAATATCGTTCATGAGGTTCCCAGTTAATCCGATGCCATACCTCAACCACGCAAGATCAAGAGATCTCTTAGATCCGATTTTAAAGAAGACTCTTTCTTATATCTGCTGATGTAAAACATCAATACTGGGTGTTTTAAATTTTTCCGTTATACCCGAGTTTTCCAGGAATTCTTTGAAAAATTTCTAAAACGGCTTCCGTTTGCAAAAAGATGCTCCATCATCTCCTCTTTGAATATCAGAAAACCCCAGCTCACTAGTTTTCCCCATTCAAAAGTTATTCAGAAAATGGCGATGGATTATTCTTTTTTTAAACAGATAAGAGTGTTAATCTTACAATAGAGTTTCTACAGATGTTTTCAGAATATTTCTTCAGAAGTGTCTTGGCTCTGAATGTTGATTCGTTATGAAAATACAGATGTCATACAAACAGCTCCAAAAATCGATTTTGAAGCTATCTGAAAAACGTGTCTAAAAGATTGAAGACGAGCAGGCGAAAATTCAGCAAGTTCGAAACTATTCTAATTAATCAAAGAAAAATCAGAAAAAACGGAACGGTGTGACAGTTTTGACCGTTTTTTGTCAATTTTCGGATGACTATGATTTTTGAAATATTTTCAGGAGAAATCTTCCAGAGTAAGGGAATATGTTTCCCCATATTAAGGACATAATTAGATTGAGCAGACAATACACAAATAGTACAAGTATAAAAGATTAGGTTTCAACTAATAAAAAAAGTAATACACTAGACCAGCAATACTTGCTACGAATAATGCAAATAAACTATAAATCCACATTGGTATTTTGATTGTTCTATTTTGATATTCAGCTGTGTCATTGATGCGTGGAAATGGAGTATTTGGTACTGGTGCGTCGAGAAAATCACACAATGGTTTCCAGCCCTGTTTAACATCGAACACAAGTAAACGATTTTCTGGTACAGTACGTTTAACATCGTCATTGTGTCTATTAAAAATATCGATGGTGTACGATTTATCATGAAATCGATTTTGAAATATTCCTTTCCAGACTATTTTATCTCGCATTTCACTCATTTTTCGAAAAGTTGGGTCCCACATCATAGCTACATGCAGCATCAAACTATTACTAGCTTTATATAAAGTGTTTTGAACACTTTCATACCATTTTTCTGGATTTCGTACGTTCAGTATAACTTTAGCATCTGGATAATAGTCAAGTAATTCTTTCCAGAAATAACATGCAGGAAAATCCACCGTCGAATCATAATTTTCAAATATAACGTCCCAGTCGAATGGTTCTTGGTTTTCTTTCGATTTTGCTGCATTCAGCCAATGAATCGATCGTGTTGGTGTCTTACGCAGTTCTAGCATATGATAACATGTATAACCAAGTTGTTCAAGAGCATATTTTGTACTCAACGTTCCTGTGCGTCCAAATCCTGCTCCAATTATCTTTAGTTTCATCTAAAATTATTTCGAAATATTACTACCTCTGACAGACACACAATGTTTCCTGAAAGAGTTTTTCTACTTTTTTATTCTCCCTTTAAGCCGTTAAGCATATATAAATCTGCACTACGAAAAACTGTATAGAGCCGCTGTCACTGACAAATTAAGCCTCGGGATAGAGATCATCCTGATTCATACAGATAAAACCCACAGAAGAAAGGAACAAATACAGGTCTCAATAAACACCGTTTAGCAAAGCTCGTATCCGATTTGAATAGTTATTCAGAAGTACAGAATTATGCTGAGCTGAAGGTTCACTATAATCTGGTTAAAAAAAGATTTTGAGACTTGGAACGAACTTTATCGAAAAGTTTAAATTAAAATTTCGTGATGTAAATATTTTTCATTTAATCTCGATCAAAACGTGAAACATGGGCTGAAAATACATACAGTAATTCGTGCTTATTCTACTGATGAAGTTGGCAGTGAGTGTGTAGATCGTGAAAGCGGAAAAATTCTTCTCTTAGAAGAGGAGAGTTTAGCTTACGATATTGATAACCTGTTAACAACATACGAGCGTTTTAGAGGAAAGAAGACTGTCTTCAAACGATGATGTTACGGACGATCTTTTCTTTTTGTATACTTTTTGTTTTGGTGGTCTGTTTAAAAAAAAATCGTGCAAGTTAGTTTGGACTTACCTAAATAAGGTTATAAAACCAGTTTCGAGGTTAAGTTGGATTTATGAAAGTTTGTATAGGTTAAAATCTCTTGCAAAATATACATCGCTTTTTCAAACAATTTTTGTTTAAATTAAAGCAAGTTATAATATATTTTTACAATATTTGAAAATATTTCACATTCTTTTTATGATCCTGTTCCACAACTTTCGTCCGTACGTTCGTGTCAACCCACATTGACTAAAGATATAAGAGCATTTAGTTTTTAGCTGCACGAAATCAGAAGTAGTTGAATGTTATGTGCAAGAAAAACAATAATAAATGGAAGAGAATAAACTTAATCACAATATAGTAGTGAAGCCACATTAGTAAAGTATGCTTTAGTTAGAGGGTAAATCAGATATAGTGGAAACTAAAGGTACTTTGGACATCCTGGAATAATGTAAATATAAAGTAGCTGCTCTAATTAAAACTAATTGAAACAAGCAGGACTCAGACGCGTAGGAATCTTCCGTCATGACTCGAGCTAGAACTATACGACTCATCCGTGATCTTGACTCGACACAATAAGCACCGCGACTTATCGTGAGTTATGGTGAAATTTTCCAAAAACAATTAGAATTTTATCGCGATCGTGACGCAACACGATCACCTCATAGCGATCATGGCTCGACATTTTTGCGAAGTCATTCCAATCGATTACGTGCGCGATAGTTTAATCATGCAGCGAGTCACTTGTTGACTTGGGGGATAATAGTTAAAAATATAACGTTTCTTTCCTTAACCGCTGCTGCGCGACTACGTAACATATCGAAGTTTTGTCTTACATTCTGATGTTCGTCTAGCCTCAGTTTTTCTCGGGCTATTCTTACCTACCCAAAGAGTTTCATTCAGCGCCGTTTCACATACATTTCTGCATTTGAGACCTTGTTTTTACAACATCCGGTTCTGCCACACAAAACTTACATACTGTTCAGTAGACATGCATCGGTTTCGATTTTACATCGACAGACTATCGCAAATAATAAATAACCGAAAGACTTAGATTCAGGCAACTAAAATTGACTAAATATGTATTAACTATACTGCTCACGTCTGTTTTTCGTTTTGTCGATAATATTTTCCTCATGTTTTCTATGAATAAATACCATCTTTTGGTCAGCTATACAAGCTGTGCAGGTATAGGTTTCTTAATGATGCGTGAAGTAAAATGTAAAAATAATGCAAAGGAGTTGCTTGTTTTATGCAAATAAATAAATATGAGTACTTGGTACGATACACAGTAAAAAATAGTTGAGCAGTCATCCACTGTTACCCGATTTCTGACAGATTGTTGTGAGCCAGCATAAAATATATTCTTACTCATTATAGGTATCAAGTTTTTTCTTATCATATTTTTAAAATTCATTCTCGAGCAAGTATCTGCAGTGAAAGGTGGAAAAGCTTGGATATTTTTAGTAAAAATACAAAACTTTTCAGCTATACCATCCGCACAACTTAATGTATCCTTTCTATTAATACCTGGTCTTTCGGTGCCGATAACGTCTTTTCCGTATATAACATGATATATCAGCTTTACTCAAAAGCATCTGTACGTTCAATCATTCTAAAATTGTTCGCCTTTGAAATTATACTAACAGACTACAGTAAGCCCAAGATTTTGATGAGTCACAATATGTAAAGAAGGGCACTTTCGCAGTAGAAAACAATCGATCTATGGCTTCCTAAACTGATTTATGAACTACATAAGTAAAAAGAAACTACGGTAAAAGATGGTGAAAAGGAATAGATTTCAGGATGGTTTATGGTTCATCAGAAAAGAATACCTGTCAAATTTGAAGACATGTTATAAGCATGTTCATAGCGTAAAAGAAAACAATCAGAATTATGCATACACGGATAGCAACAGCGGAATAGCACATGAATTATTGATTTTTATCGTGTTTTATCATGTGAAAAACTAATTTTTCTTGCCTGGCTTGTGTGTTAACAGATCGAGTTATGAAAAAGATATGTCCTATCTTCAGATAGAGTCATATGGTAATGCATCAAAAATAAATTTCAAATGATTCAATCTAAAGTTTAGATTCTTAAACTTACGTTAGTTTTTTTTCGGAGGTTTTTGTTGGAACAATCAAGAAAACATGTTGATCACTCCTGTGTAGTAACTGAGAATATATGAGTCATTTGCAACTTTATTGTACAATTGAGTTTTTGTCGTGTTTTTAAAATTACTCCGGTTTCTGAAAACGGATTTCGAAATTCTTTTTTTTGTTTTATCTCTGTTTGCTTGCTTCACTACCACAGAAAATCTAAGTTCGATATCTCAACAACTCACCGAGATAAACCCAGCAAAAGTCGAAAAAACGTGTGTTTTAGATCAGTTATTGAGAGAAAAGTAAGTTTTTCTAACAAAAGAAGGAACGAAAAGCAAAAAGTAAATAGTACTTTTGTAGAGCATTTAATGCTCTATCAAACTGTGTGCCTTCACGCTTGTTTTGTTTTTTTGTTTATTGTTTGTTGGCGAAAATTGTTTTACAGACAACTTGTAGATCGAGATAAAAGTAAACTTGGGCCCTTGAGAAAACATTTTTTTGGGAATGTGGGGTGTTCATAAGAAAGAGCAAGGACGGCTGCATCTAATTGAGTAAACATGCTTTGTTAAATGTCTTTCTTACCGGACGAAAAAATGGAAAATAGAGTTTTACGTTCACTTTGTAGATCGAGAGTTTCCAACTTTTGACATTCGCTGTTTTACAAGGATTTGCCTGACTGCAACAACGTTGACCCACAAGAAAGCGTGTCAGAAGTTGTACAAGTGGTGCAATTTGCAAGTCTCTAGAACATACTTAAGTAGGAAAAAATTACAATATACCACGAAATGTAGATCGAGATTTTTTGTAGATCGAGATTACTCTAAAAGTTTTTTCGGTTCTTTTAGTCAAAAACCAAGTTATAACATCAATTTTGACTCCTTATGTTCTGCTGAACCGATGTATCCATAAATTTACGTAGTAGTGATGTCGAGTTTCTCCAAAGTGACCGACCACCTATAGGCTACAAGCTTTGCGTTTTATTTTTGAATACACAATCGAAATTAGGGTTTTAACGATCTAACGTTTGCTGTGCAGGTCAGACTAAGTTACATATGGAATGAGTCGATAGCTCTCTACGAGACCTATCGAATGGTGTATGATATATCCGCTTTTAAAGCAACCTCGAGATCATTATAGCCTAAAACCTAGAGAACGGAACTTGGCGTAGTTTGTTGAGGTTTATCTCAGTCGCTACGCATGTGGTAGTCTGGAAATTTGGGTTCTAGACTCAGAAAACAACGGCGAACAAGATGTGCTAATGAAATTTTGTTTAAATTCACTTTCATTATTTTTCACCAATTGTAAGGTGCAGGAAAGGCAAAAACGGAGCAGACGCAAAAGTGGTCGAATTATACCTCATTCGATAGCCCTGACAATTCTGACCCATGGTCATCAGATTCCACTTTTGACGAGATTTTCAGGTCGAAAACGTGAAAATACTAGAACCCCCGAAAAAGTCTGTTTTTGGTACATGTTAAGAAAAACGCAAACGATGAGATTGAACATCTGGTTTGCTTCGACTGCTGAAGAAGAATTGCAAAACTTCTTCGTACGACTTGCCCTGATTGTATGCTTCGATCGACTTCCAGAAACGATGAAAAGCGTCGGTCCGGAGGAGGCATAATTGATAAAGAACGAGTGAGAACGGTAAAGAGGTGAGATTTTGTCCGTGTCAATGAGATGGAAGACAATGATACGATCGAAGTCTAGGGATTACCAATAACGGTTTTTCCTGCGACTAAACCTTAACATTTCTCTAGTTCATTTCTTGCCTTTCCATTTGTGTCTCTCATCTTTGTTGTATCTCTTGACAATAATAAATATTCATGTTACTGACGATACCGTCTTTCTTTGATGTTTTACTACTTGAAAAATCGGGTTTTCAAGTGGAGAGCGTTCAGAACT